TATACCACACCACCACCACCCCTCTGTCCAAGTATACCACGTCCACCACCCCTCTGTCCAAGTATACCACGTCCACCACCCCTCTGTCCAAGTATACCATGCCCACCACCCCTCTGTCCAAGGTTTTGCTCACCTCCTCATAAAAAGAAATCAGATTTGTTTGACAACTTCTGTCTTTCATGAATCCATGCTGTCTGTTGCTTAAAATATTTTTTTCCAGCAAGAACTCCTCTATGTGGTCTTTTATTAAACTCTCCAGTATCTTCCCAACTATAGAAGTTACACTAACAGGTCTATAATTACTTGGGAAAGATTTTGACCCCTTTTTAAATATTGGCCCCACATTGGCCTTATACTACTTTTCTATCTTAACTTCTCACTCAACCATAAAGTAACATTGAATGAAGTAAATATAAACTGGTACCTATCTGTAGCCCTTTCCTCTACAGCCTCATAAAACACACAGGTCAAAGGCTTTTTGTCAGCTGCAGCAGGCAGGGGGCGAGGATCTGATGTCACACACTGCACAGACTAGAGAGGAGTGCAAGCTGAGACCACAGTGGAGGGAATTTACACCCCCCCCTACACACTCTTATAGGGAACAGACTAGAGAGGAGTGCAAGCTGAGACCACAGTGGAGGGAATTTACACCCCCCCTACACACTCTTATAGGGAAACATGCACAGCTGAGGCCATCAGTCACCTGCTGTGTGCTGGAGGAGGACAGGGCCGATTCCCGAGATTGTCTAGTGTCCACATACCCTCTTGAGAGTGAATCATGCAGGTAGCAGAGGAGGGAAACAGCAGAGAGAAATCACACTTGATGCTCCAGACTGAGATGAGTACACACTATAGAGCAGGGGTACTGAATTCAAATTCATGGAGGTCTGGTGGGGGGGGGGGGGGGGGTGTTACACACAATCCCATGATTGTGTATAATACTGACAGGCAGACTCCTGCCTGTCAAGTGGAAGCTGTCGGGTGGCTGTGCTGTTGCCCGATTGCTTCCACACCCCCCAGAAGCAGCGCACCCCCCCCCCCCCCCCCGGTGCTGGCGGGTGGAGGGGTCAGAGGAGAGCAGGGGCAGACTGACCATTTGGAAACTCGGGCACTGCCCGAGGGCCCGGGGTCAGTAGGGGGCCCCATGAGATACCCCTGGTACCTTTTTCATAGGCTTTTTTGAGTTTGGGCAAGGACACAGGGGCCCCATGATCCCCTATTGCCCGGGGGCCCCATGAGTTGTCAGTCCGCCCCTGGAGGAGAGAGAACACACATCTGCTCTCCTCCCTTCTGCATCGTGTAAGCTTTGTTGCGTACTTCCGGGTCACTTCTGTCACTTTCCCCAGCTAGAATAGCCGGGGAGGAATGTATTGCAATGCAATCCAGTGGAGCACGAAGGACTCCGCATGTCTTGATAAAGAGAACCTGACACCTAAAAATCATCATATAGAGAACTTTGTGTCCCCAATGTGATAAAAAAAAAGTTTTTTCTTATTGCAAAAAAAAAAAAGATACACCCAAGCACATAACATCCCGGCCCAAAAATTTTGAGCCCCCCACACATACCCACATACGAATGTGAAAGTATTTGCTGGGGGCACCTACGCGTCAAAATGTCAATTGCGATATACATGTTACATATCACCGCAGACGCCAGAGTGAGAGCGATAATTTTAGAACCAAACCTCCTCTGTAACACTAAACTGATGACCTGTAGGGGGCTTTTGAAGAGTCGCCTATAGAAAATATAGGGTACTGAAGTTTGTCGCCATTCCTCAGGAGCACACAAATTTGAGGTTCGACATGTTAGGTATCTATTTACTTGGTGCAACCTCCTATTTTATATTTTCCCAAAAAATGTGGGTAATGTATTGCATTTTCTTTGCCCTAAAATTCACATTAGTGTGTTTTGTACTGAAATTTTGCATTTCTCAGATCTTTGCGGTAATATTGTGTGACTTAAAAAATTGTAACTACCACTATTTTATTGCCTAGGATGTCTGCTTTCAGAAAATATATCATGTTTGGGGGTTTTTGAGTAATCTTCAGGCCTAAAATGGCTCTGACAGCGAAAAGGTTAATGCACACAATGTTGTTACTAAAATGCTGCGTGTGTCTTTTTCTCGGTGCGAACCTCTTCTAGTGATTTGTAGTGTTCCTTTTCTGCCGACCATGGTAGGTATTTGAACAGGGTACGAAAACGTGAAATATGGAGAGCCATCCACATTTTTTGGTAAATAGGCGAAGACATGACCCATAGTGGGGCAGGGAGGTGTCATTATCTACAAATGTTGGCGCTAAAAGCCGTCTGGTCAATACCGTCTTAAAAAATGACGAGATTTGCTGCGTAACACCAGAGTGGTCACCACGGGGTTGTAAATACTCAATGTTTCCGCTAGCTGGTGGGAAATCCAGTTAACTTGGAACTTCGGCATTAATGTTTGATGGGCAGGAATATTGATCCCAGGAAAAGCTTTAAATATTCCATTAGAAGTGGTAACTTTTATCTCCGCATGAGCTGCTGCGGAATGTTAACCCCTACGCAGTGACAGCATCAGCGGGTGCCGCACGGCCTCGCCAGGACCCGGGTATGAATGGGTTAAGCGCAGGCAATATAATATGGAAGTGTGAGGGATTTTTTTGACTCCCTCCCTCTTCTTCACAGCCCGGCGCAGCTTGAGATTGTCCCCGGACTGACAATCCCCCTTATTAGGGCTGTGAAAAGTCCTTTATGAAGAGCGGAGTGGGAGACAAACCACTCATTATATCCACTGGTAGTGAGTCAGATAGGAGCCCAGATGTGCCGGCGTCTCTTGTTCTGCTTCTTGGTGTTTGGCTTTTATTGTGGATGGGAGCTGCGTGCTGGGATCCTGAAGACCCAGGTAGGTCATGCATGTTGACCTGATCCCCAAGATCCGGGTAGGTCAAGCATGTTAACCTGATCCCCAAGACCCGGGTAGGTCAAGCATGTTGACCTGATCCCCAAGACCCGGGTAGGTCATGCATGTTAACCTGATCCCCTAGACCCGGGTAGGTCATGCATGTTAACCTGATCCCCAAGACTCAGGTAGGTCAAGCATGTTAACCTGATCCCCAAGACCCGGGTAGGTCATGCATGTTAACCTGATCCCCAAGACCCGGGTAGGTCATGCATGTTAACCTGATCCCCAAGACCCGGGTAGGTCATTCATGTTAACCTGATCCCAAGACCCAAGTAGGTCAAGCATGTTAACCTGATCCCCAAGACCCGGGTAGGTCATGCATGTTAACCTGATCCCCAAGACCCGGGTAGGTCATGCATGTTAACCTGATCCCCAAGACCCGGGTAGGTCATTCATGTTAACCTGATCCCAAGACCCAAGTAGGTCAAGCATGTTAACCTGATCCCCAAGACCCGGGTAGGTCATGCATGTTAACCTGATCCCCAAGACCCGGGTAGGTCATGCATGTTAACCTGATCCCCAAGACCCGGGTAGGTCATGCATGTTAACCTGATCCCCAAGACTCAGGTAGGTCAAGCATGTTAACTTGATCCCGAAGATCCAGGTAAGTCATGCATGTAACCTGATCCCCAAGACCCAGGTAGGTCAAGCATGTTAACCTGATCCCCAAGACCCATTTAGGTCATGCATGTTAACCTGATCCCCAAGACCTGGGTAGGTCATGCATGTTAACCTGATTCCAAGACCCAGATAGATCAAGCATGTTAACCTGATCCCCAAGCCCCAGGTAGGTCATGCATGTTAACCTGAGCCCCAAGACCCAGGTAGGTCATGCATGTTAACCTGAGCCCCAAGACCCAGGTAGGTCACGCATGTTAACCTGATCCCCAAGACCTAGGTAGGTCATGCATATTAACCTGTGGTCTGCAGATATTGAGGAACTGCAAATCCCAGCATGCATACTGACAGTATGATCTTAGCAGTCATAGGGCAACATGTTGTGCAGCACACATCTTTTGATATTTACTATAAATTGCCAAAATGTACAATGTTGCAGTTTGATCCTGGGGGGGGGGGGGGGGGGGGAGTTGGGGAAGAGACTAAGGAAATGCTCCCTGCTGCCTGCAGCATACTGATGACACATGCCTAGGCACAGTTTCTATAGTATAGTTGTATGTAGTGACATGTTAGGAATGTGTTTTATGCAGTGTTATAATGTTACTGAAAGGTCCCTGAAGGCAGGTTTTCCATCTTTTGTTCATTTGTTGTAAAGCCCTTGTGGCTGCAACTATGACCGGCAGGGCTACAGATCCCTTTATATTGTTCAGCCACCTGTTTTCAGCAAAGCCATCAAGCACACTTAGGTTGAACCACATCCAATCCGCATGACATGTGAAATTGCTTCCTATAATGCCTATTCACATATGTCCGCTGCGCTGGCAGTGCGGAATCAGTGCGGTTTGAAAAAGAGTCCTGTGCAAATTCTGAGCAGCACCATCAGGTTCAGGTGCGGATTACAGACTACTGACTTCTATGAGAACAGTTCCTGAACCGCATACGTGTGAACAGGATAAAATCCTGACCTGAACCTGATGTAAACCTGACCTGAACCACTGAACAACTTGTTGTGAAACCTGAGCTTCAATCCGCAATGCACATGTGGAGACTCCAGCTTTGGCAGCCTGGCTTCAGAAGCCCATTGGATCCTCAGAATCATCACCGTGTAACTCCTGGTTACAGCCATAATTCGATGGTCTTCCACCGAGGACTGAAAATCATAGACGTCATTAACCACTTGCCCTCCTGAGGTTCTCCCCCCCCCCCCCCCCTTCCTGACCAGGCCATTTTGTGCGTTACGGTGCTGCATTACTTTAACCGACAATTGACTGGTCATGCAACGCTGCACCCAAATGAAATTTACGTCCTTTTTTTCCCACGAATTGAGTTTTCGTTCGGTAGTATTTGATCGCCTGTGCATTTTTTATTTTTTTGCGCTATAAAAAATCGACAATTTTGAAAATTTTGAATGCAGGGTCCGGGGAGAGCGGATATAGTAAATGCGGGGTCTGGGGAGAGCGGATATAGTGAATGCATGGTCCGGGGAGAGCGGATATAGTGAATGCAGGGTCCGGGGAGAGCGGATATAGTGAATGCAGGGTCCAGGGAGAGCAGATATAGTGAATGCAGGGTCCGGAGAGAGCGGATATAGTGAATGCGGGGTCTGGGGAGAGCGGATATAGTAAATGCGGGGTCCAGGGAGAGCAGATATAGTGAATGCGGGGTCCGGGGAGAGCGGATATAGTGAATGCGGGGTCCTGGGAGAGCGGATATAGTGAATGCGGGGTCCTGGGAGAGCGGATATAGTGAATGCAGGGTCCGGGGAGAGCAGATATAGTGAATGCGGGGTCCGGGGAGAGCGGATATAGTGAATGCGGGGTCCTGGGAGAGCGGATATAGTGAATGCGGGGTCCGGGGAGAGCGGATATAGTGAATGCAGGGTCCGGGGAGAGCGGATATAGTGAATGCAGGGTCCGGGGAGAGCGGATATAGTGAATGAGGGGTCCGGGGAGAGCGGATATAGTGAATGCGGGGTCCGGGGAGAGCGGATATAGTGAATGCGGGGTCCGGGGAGAGCGGATATAGTGAATGCGGGGTCCGGGGAGAGCGGATATAGTGAATGCAGGGTCCGGGGAGAGCGGATATAGTGAATGCAGGGTCCTGGGAGAGCGGATATAGTGAATGCGAGGTCCGGGGAGAGCGGATACAGTGAATGCAGGGTCCAGGGAGAGCGGATATAGTGAATGCAGGGTCCAGGGAGAGCGGATATAGTGAATGCAGGGTCCGGGGAGAGCGGATATAGTGAATGCAGGGTCCTGGGTATATTGAAAGAAAAGGGGTGCTGTTGCACAGCCCCAGCTGCTTTGGAGGTGCCTGATTCTAAAACTAAACTCCAGGTATGAACACTTTCATTTAATTACATTCCCTAATCACCATAAAGAATATAAATCCATCAAATGCCTTTGCAAACCAGTTTTTACCCTGTGAAAGTAGTGGTGACATCATCACTGTGGCATGCATAACCTGTGCAGGGAGCAGAGCTTTGGGAGGGGCCCTGTAGGACCACCCACTACAGGCCTCCTGCACAAAACTATAGGGGGCGGAGACAAGACCAGTTCCCCTGCACAAGGAGAGAGAGCAGAGCTGTGGGAGGGGCCCAGCAGGACCACCCACTACAGACTGCCTGCAGAAAACTATAGGGGGCGGAAACCAGACCAGTCCCCCTGCACAAAGAGAGAGAGAGCAGCAGTGAGCAGTCTTTATTACAGGAAGTCCCACACTGGATTACTGCACAGATCTGAAAGAAATACACAAAGATCACCGAGATTCAAGAAGAAGACACAACAAATGTATTTAAACACTATTTGTTTTTTCCAGAGTTCAGCTATTCCGTCCCCCAGCAGTCAGACTCTTTCTAATTAACTAATCACGTTTATCAAACCAAACCTTTGCATGTGTCCTGATCTAATAAAATAAAGCATGCAGGAACACACACATTACTCTCATTATTACTGTCAAGCTAAGAGAGGGTTCTAAAGAGGAACTCTGCCTAATGCTGTTTGCAACGAAACTGGGTACATAATCCAAATTCCTCCGTAAACACAAAGGAGACCTATCTACTTTGTGTGCTTCAAATGCCTCTACAAATCCTGATGCTACCTTGTAAAGCTGGAAGTGACATCAGTACTGTGCTGTACAGGGGTGTATATACCACAAGGCAAACAAGGCATTTGCCTAGGGCGGCATTTTTCAGTGGGGCAGCACCACCCTCCTGAAAGAAGGGATGGAAGAAGGGGCACAGGCAGCTTGGGGACCAAGTGGGATCTGAGAGAGGCTGCGGGCTGCTTGATTCGTTCTCGGGAATGTCCAGAGCTGTGAAGGTGAATGTCTTTCTCTCTCCCGCTGGGAGGGGAGTGGCTGGTGTATGGGGGGCGATGGTAGTGGAAGGCTGTCTTGGGTGGGGGGTCAGGTGTGTTGTTGGTCAATGTCAGGCTCTCGCCATTGGGGGGGATTTTGTGTTGCCTAGGGCAGCACAAAACATAAATAGACCACTGGTGCTGTACATATCCTGTGCACACAGCAGAGCTGTGGGAGGGGCACAGCAGTCTCCACCCACTACAGCCTTTAGAAAACTACAAGACCAGCTGCCCTGCACAAGGAGAAAAAGCAGAGCTGTGGGAGGGGCCCAGCAGGCTCCACCTACTACATGCTGCTTAAAAAAAAAAAAAAAAAACACAAGGGGGTGGAGACCAGACCAGTCCCCCTGCACAAGCAAAGAGAGCAGCAGTGAGCGGTCTTCATTACAGGACGTCTGACACAGGATCACTACACAGATCTGGAAGAAATACACAAAGTTCACTGAGATTCAAGAAGACAGATGACTCTTCCATGGATGGGCTGTCGGTCCACAGGAAGCTCTACAGCATTTTAAGACCAACTGTGCAAAATGCTTTACTTCCATTTAAACAGTTGTAAAGCAGCGCTTTACAAGATGAGGGCAAACAGTACAGTTACAATACAATTGAATGCAGGAGGAATCAGAGGGCCCTGCCCCTCAGAGCTTACAATCTAAAAGTATATATACCACTAAAGCTTAGCCAAAAGGCAGCCATAAGGCACAGTAGGCTCCTGTCTATAGGCACCATCTTGGGAGGGGCACCTTCCATTGTCACTTTACCAGGAGCGCTGCTGAATCCCTGCAAACATAGTTGCCGTATTTGCTTGTCAATACATTGTATCGGCATCATTGTGTCAACAATGTATTTGTAACCTTTTTGTATGCAGATCAAATGAGTCTTCTTTAGGCCCCGTTCCCGCTACGTGATTTTCAAAGCGTGATGCTCACGCAACTCTGTGTGTTGCACAGGGCTAGTCCATTTACGCAAATGGCCTGCCCTATATTTGCGTTTGTCACCCAAAAAGAAGCACCCGTTCCTTTATTTGGGGGGTACCAAGCTTTGCATGATTTTTTAAAGGCACGTATTGCCACAGTATGCTTTTGCACAACAATCCCGCCAGAATCCCATCGTGTTTGGGATGCCATTAACCTCTTGCCGTCCGCCTGCTGTTTATAAACGGCAGGGATGGTGGCAGTCCAGGGGCGGGTTGCCGTTCATAATCGGCACCCGCCTTTTCTAGCTGTGCGCGCTCCCTGGGAGCGCGCACCACCGCGATCCGGTGCCCGCTGTGTCCTCCGGACACAGTGAAACACCGATCATCGGACGGGACCTCTGTACGAGGTCCCGATCATGTGATCACTGATTGGCCAATCAGTGATCACATGCAAAGTAGTAAGCAAGATGTCACTTGTGACATCATTGCTTACTACGTGTGAAATCTGTGAATGATCACAGAGGTCACATGGTACAGGGCTATTCACAACAGCCTTGTACCATGTGACAAGCTCTGACCAATCACAGCTCACTCAGTATTTCTCAATGACTGCAAGAATGCAGACAGAGAGAAAGAGAAATGATTGCTTTTACAATCTATATGGGTGTAAAAGCAATCAGTGTAAAAAAAAAAAAAATCTTCATCACAACCCACAAGTAGTACAGTGTCACCATGGTGACACTGTACTGCTAGGGTGACAGTATGTAAAAAAAATAAATAAATAAAAAATAATAATATAAAAAAAATAAAATAAAAATGTAAAAAAAAATGTTTAAAAATCATAATTTTTGGTTATAAACTAATTTGGATTTTTTGTTTTTTACTAAAAAAATAACGGAATAAATTTTGGCCAAGATTTATGATGAAATATTATTTATTTGCAAAATTTTATTTAAAAAAAACACTTTTTTTCCAAATTTTTGGACTTTTTCATTTACATAGTAAAAAAAATAAAAATCCCAGCGGTGCATAAATACCACCAAAATAAAGCTTTATCTGTCTTGAAAAAATGGTAAAAAATTCATATGGGTACAGTGTTGCATGACCGCGCAATTGTCATTCAAAGAGTGATAGCGCTGAAAGCTGAAAATTGCCCTGGTCAGAAAGGGGGGGAAAGTGTCCGGACAGGAAGTGGTTAACCCCCCTGGCGGTATTCCCGAGTGTAGCTCGGGGTAAAGTTTCAGCACCACAAGCGGTAAAACCCCCCCCCGAGCTACACTCGGGAATACACTGCAGCGTTGCTCTGGGATCCCTCCAGCACTTACCTTGTCCTGCGCTCCTGCGATGTTCCTCCTGCAGTGTCCCCAGCAATGTCCTCCGGCTGATGCCGGCATCCATCTTCCGGGTTTGGTTCCCTGTGACGTCGGGACGTACGGGGGACGGAACTGGCGGGAAATTCAGAAATTTTAAAAGTGACATTCACTAATACACTAAAATCACATAGTATAACATTCCTGTATCAAACCATTTCACATACATTGTGTCCCGAGTGCTTTGTCCGGCACCCTGCCTGCATTTTTACTGTTCTTTCTGCCTGGAAACTGAGAAACGTCCATGGCGCCCAAAAAGCGCCCCTTTAGGTCAGACGCGGTTTTAGACCGGCTAGAGAACAGCGACAGTAAATCAGAACCACTTGCAGAATTGAGTGATAATGATTGGTGGGGGAAATTCCTCATCAGACACTGAAAACGATTCTGCGACTTTGCTCAGTGATGTGCGAACTTGGCGCTATATTTCACATTTCAGTGTTTTTGGTTTGATTATATTATTGAATTAAATTTATTATTATTTTTTATGATTATTATATTAAAATTTATGATTTCGTGTTTCAAATTTTATCATCCCCGGGATGTTTACTAGACTCTTGTTCGGACAGATTTCAGTGAGTTATTCCTAAGAATTACAGGCCTACAATAAAAAAACAACAAATTTCCATGCAAAAAAATGTACCGCTTTGAGCACAGAAATACGGACATAATCAGACCGCTAGGAAGGCTACAAATTTATTGAAAAGAAAAATGTGGGGAAAAATGCACCGAAACGGATCAAAAACTGCACCAGACCGCTAGGGAGGTTAACGGACAATGACGTGCGGCGCACATTGCCATTTGATTTGGAAATGCGGCAATTCTGCCTGCGATTCCAAATTGTGAATGGAGCCATAACAAGGGCTTTGCGTTCACCAGTGAGTACAGTGCAGACCAAACACCACATGTGTGTTGCTGGTGAATGTGCGACGGATCCAGTGATCTAAAAAAAGCGCAGGTTCCTGCACCCCCCCTGTATTTATACACCCCCCCTCTTGGTTTCCCCTCTTCTCAGTGTTGCAGGTGTTCAAATTTTTTTTTTAACTTCTAACTTTTTTTTGTATGTGTGAGTTATTTTCAGCCCGTGGCGGTTGAGCCGCCTGTCGCTTGTGACAAACTTGTGACTGCTGTGAATATCAGTAATTGTTGTTCTGCTGATAACCAGCGCTAACCCGCTGCAGATTTGGGGTTTTCTCTTCATCCCCAGGCGACGTTCACACAGAACAGTTCGGCGGCTTTTATCAGAATTTGTGAACTTTTTTTTTTTTCAGCGGATAT